TCTCTCTCTCTCTTTCCCCCCCCTCCCTCCCTCCCTCCGTGTAGATAGAATAGAATCCTGCAAGAAGGATTAGCGGTCCGTCAATGAGGAACTACCGGCTCATCTTCTGCCACAACCTGAAGCAGCCATAGATGGTTTGGTGGTTCTCTGGCTAAGGGAATAGAAGATAGGATACACTTTCACTGCTACACGGTGAGTTCTCACACACACACACACACACACACACACACACACACACACACACACATGCAGGTATATGTGTTGCTGGAGCAAGGCCCACTTCACTTCAAAACAATGATTGGATGAGACACACATAAGCACATTTGTTATACTATAGTACTCACTTTTTAAGACTTGTTGTGTAGACACTGAGGCTTTAACCACATGAGCTAACATTCATGTTCCTCACAGACTGAAAGGACAAGCCCCAACCCAGAGTTTACACTTCCTCCTCCTTTCTAGCTGTCATTTACCCTCGACAACTTCCTAGTTAGCTGCTCACTACCTTTTTCGAAAGTGACACGATGCAACAAGCTAGATTGTTTTCTTAGAGAAGCATTCACCCCTCTGTTGGCCCAACATAAAGAGTAAAAAATAGAAATCACAGTCCACTCTTTTTCTCATAACTCAAAACAATACACAGTGGTGCTTTTTTCTTGAGGAAACCATCTGTGACCAGATGTCAGTGGGACAAATGGCATACAGAGAGCCTATTGAAGAGGAAACAGTTCATTGTGCCATTTGATCCACTCTCAGAATTAAGTTCAGTTTGATCATTGCACTCGTTTGCATTGGGATTTTGATACAAAAATGATAAATCTTCCCGCTCTACATCAGATATATCTACGGCCTATTTGCAACTTTGAACAGAAATGATTGTTGCACATTCTTGCTTTGCATTGATTTCCATCCCATTGTCTGACTCAGGCATTCACAGCATCGCCTTTGCATGGAAGGACTCTTTCATTATGCCGAATACTGTAGGGACGAGAGTTTAATTTCAGTAATGACCTTAAAATGATGATTATGTAATAAACAAAGTGTAAAAACAACTGACTTTCACCCACATGGAATCGTGTTGATGTAATTTAAAACTGATCTCCCTATAAGTGATTTTCTCCACTTTTTGGCAGTGTGTCTATGACTAAAGATGAAGCGTGATGTTTTAAGCCGTGTTGAATCCTTGACCAGGGCTTTTATTTTGAAAATCATTCTATCTGACTTTTTGTCTAATTCTCTTAAAGACGTGAGGTCTTGGCGGGGCTGTGGTGAGGAGGAGGAGGCGGCCATGAGGAAGAGCGTGTCTCCGTTGCCAGGCAATGAGGGCGGGAGCTCAGCCAGCACCACGCGTGTTTTTGGCGTTCCTTTGGAGGAAGTGACACGCACGCACACAATCAGCGGCCATGAGGTTCCTGCACTGGTCAAAGACATCGTCGACTACATCGAGGAGCATGGTGAGTGATGGACACACACACACACACACACACACACACACAGATGAAGGGATGTTTGAACCCCAAATTCACACAACTTTTTTGCTGGTTTCACACCATTTTGTATCCAATATATGACTCGTATGGAAATCGTTTCCATCAAATTAATATTCACTAACCTAAAATATCAACCGATGCTGATGACACCAATGCAACAATTTCAGTAAATTTAAATGCCTGAAATGATCAAAGCGGCTACACTCTGAATAAAAGTCTGCTTTTATATTATGGAAAACAAAGCAGACTGGATTTTACAAAGCCTAAAAACTCTTCTCTATTGTGATATAACTGCTCATACAAAGAGAGGATGTTCTTCTGGCCTAACCTCAGAATACTCTCTTTGTATGACAGATCTTTAACATTTCAATGTTCTTGTATTGCACTTTATTAATATGCACCTACATCCCCTGCAGGCATTAAGAGCTTACATTGTCTTGTAATTGCCTTCAGTTTAATTTACTGTGTTCTAGGAACACTGCATTCTTTTTTTATTCATCTCAGCTTTCGTTCGGAGCGAACATATTGAACTTTTGAATTTAGAAATGTGACATTTTGTCAAAATAGGAATGATTTGTTAATACCTTAAACTTTATTTAATTCGTCACTTACAGTTTGTAGACAGCTCAGCTATTGAAATACGGCCTCTGCATTTAACCCATTAACCAAGTATTAGGAGCAATTTGATGATCAGTGTCTCGCTCAACGGCACTTTGACAGGTGGCCCGGAGGGGCTGGAACCGCCCAACATTGTGATTAAAGCACCACAGGCTCTACCCTCTGAGCCACAGCAGCTCTTTTAGCCTGTGTCCAGTAGAGTAAGACGGGTCTTTGTACCTTCATGGAATTGTACTGATCATAGTAACATTTCACTTGATTTAAGATGGAAATGGGAGAGCAGGATTAAGACCAATACCAGTTTCAGCCCATCTTGAATGCCACTATTTTTGTCTCACTTATCACTTCTAAGTACAGACTTCTGAGTACACACTTCTGAGTGCTCAGTTACATCTCATTGCCTTGTTTAATGTTTCAGTAATCCAAAGCACACCCTGCTGCTGTTGACTGCCCTTGCATCACGATAAACCAAAATATGTCGTTAGTGGAGATCCAGTTTATGTGATAAGATGAACTCTGAGTGCACCGGCATACAGATCCACGGTCCACTTCCTTCTTTATTATATAACAGACCTCTCAACTGCAGTGCTGCTTGTGAAAACAGATGAGCTTAACAGTGAAGAGAGGAACCCACCAAAGTATTGTCCTTGGGGCTTTCCCACATCCCCCCTGGAACATTTCTCTTCAGGCCTCGCAGAGCAGGAACTTTAGTCTTATGTCACCGTCTTTATAAGAGCAGGTTGGCAGTTCAGATGTCTTGCTTTGAAGGATGAGACGCTAAAAGTGATAAAAAAGTGGTGACTTTTGAAGCCAAATTGAAGTTTTTAAACTAACCAGCCACAGACTGAATTTATCTGCATTTAGCTGGTGGTGATACTGGCTACGTAACATCATCAGTACCAGTTTTGTGTTACATAACTCATAAAGTCCTCCACCAGATACCTAACCAATCAATCCTCTCTGTGCCAAGGATGCATTGTTGGTGTGAACCACGGAGAAATGGAGAAACTGAGCCATTTAGATTTGTTTAACTTGTTTCCCTAAATCTCACCATCTCTGGTCCCACAAAATTGCAAATGCATGCAGAGATTAATTTGTAGAATTGGTTTACTTTGTGTCTCACATTAGAAGCAATTTGATGGCTGTAAAAAAGGCCAACCATGAAATGAAGGAAATGCTGAAAAGTCATTAAATGGTTCACATTTACTTAATAAATGGAAGTATCCTGAGAATCGATATGGAATTATAGTTGAGATTTAAAGATTACAAGATAGGCCAGCTGGATCCTGGACATACTGGATGTATCTACATATCGTATATATAAAGTAATAGAAAGGGTGTTGGAGAGGTGTTGTATTATGGCCTGGAGGTTGTGAACCTTATCAGTACTATTGTGAAATAACACAAAAGACATTTTCTTGTAAAACATGTCCAGCCTGTGGCTACGTTTTTTGTTTTTTTTAACTATTGAAATGAATCTTCACTTCAATTCCACTCAAGTGACCAGTGAAGCAGGCTGGTGGTTTGAGTGACCCGGGCCCGCTCAACCACATGAGGTTATGTAATAAGTCTTTAATCCTCCCGGACCTCTGCTGGCGCATTAATTAGAGCGCTGCTGCCAGTTCAGAAGTTATTCAGCCGGTGAGAAGGCCTTCATCTCCCCTGTTTGATTTGTGTGTGATGTCTGAGGTTTTAGAAGCAGCAGAGTGTTTAAAATATGAAGTAAAAAGGTAATCTGATGTAAGACAGAGACTGGAAATGGAAAGCACTTGAAGGCGTGTCGGACCAAAGCTGCGGCATCTGTGAAAGATGACATCGCTAATACAAGTTGAGCAAGTTATTTTACAGTGTTCAATAGGGCTGATCAATGTTTCGCTTGAATCATTAATCAACAATATAGATGTTGTGTTGTAGAAAGGTCTTGCATTGTGACTCTGGACCCATGCTGAATGCTGCGCTGCATGTACGCTACTGTGTGGAGTTGTAAAATGGAAATATATCCCTCAGGACATTTTGTTCCCTGCATTGTTAACAGATGGGAAACCAGGGAGGGAACAGAATTCAGGAGGAATCACCAAGAAGGTGTTTCCTAATCTGCGAGCCACAACATTAACACCTAAACATCTTAAAGCGTGGTCTATTGTGTTTAAACATCGGGCTTTAGATTTGTGATATCGTAATGTCTTTTCCTGGTTCTAAAGTCCGCATTACATTAAAGTGATGTACGTTTCTGAACTCATAAGAGTTTCTATTATTTGCCTTTACCCACTTAGTCATTATGTCCACATTACTGAAACCTATCTATTAAATATCTCGTTGTGTAAATATTTTTTTAGAGCACCAATAGTCAACCCTACAATGTCATCGCAATATCGAGGTGTTTGGTCCGAAGTATCTTGATGTTTGTCCAGCCCTACTTCTTCTGTATTCATGATGACTAATAATTACTCTAAGACATTAATCACTGAAGGCCTTTATAGGGACAGTTCACCTCAAAATCCCCCCAAAAAAATGACCTGCTGTTCTATTTATCAATCTTGATTGTTTTGGTGCGAGTTGCCTAGTTTTGGGCATATCGACCGAAGAGATGTCTGTCTTCTCCTGAACATAATGGGACTATATCATCCTCAAATCACCCAAAAAATACATTTGAAAAACTCAACAGCAATTTCAATTTCCATAAATCATGACCTGGTTACTCGAGGAAATCCGCAGACCTTGTTGTGAGCAGTTAATGGAGGGACTATGGTTTGTAGGAGAGAAAGTATGCAGTCAAGCTCTCTTTTTTTCATATAGTGCAAAACCATGAATTCCTCCGAGGATAGTGTCGGAAAAGTGAGCTTCGTTATCCCCATTTCTACGATTCATCACATTTTGCAGCTCTTTTTGCAAAGCCCTCGAGTTTGGCTGTTTGGAAGAGACATAAACACTTTTGCCTTTAGACAACCTGTTCAGACAGCTCTACATACAAACTAGGTTGTTTGAAGCACGCTGAGCTCCTTTTAAGCTCCATTGGTCAACCGTCTTCTTCTGGAACCAACGGGAAAATTTACCCAAACAGGCCGATCAGCATCCTCACACTGCACCAGATTTTCTCCATTGTTACGTTTAGCTTTTGTCAGGACTAAAGCAAGCCAAGAATAGCAACGAGGTAATGGAACATCAACTTGATTTAAATTTGTGCAAATCCGAGCAGTAGTTGTTATAGTAGCTACCGGCAGTAGTTGTTGTAACATGAGAAAGCATTGCAGGAGATTCATGTGACAACACAGTACATAATATGAACATAACATGAAACAAGATGAACTGATACCTTATTATGTAAAGGCACTTGTATGCACACACACACACACACACACACACACACACTGACACACACATCCCTGTGCTTCTATTAGCTGTGTATTAAATTCAAGTTTGCATTTCTAGACTAGAATAAGTTACCGGTTGATTCTTTGGAGCCCTCAGTTTTCCACTACATCAACACGTCAGCCAGTTATTTATTTTAGTCCAGATGATTTCTCATTAGGTCCAAAGCTCAGAAATATCCCATGACCCCACTGTATTTACCAGGTGTTTCCATTCAGGTGGTTGTTGTTAGAACTAGAAGTCACTGCAAGATACAAATGATTGTTCTTGTTGGCACGTTCCTGGACATGATGTTTATCAGATGAACACAATTTGTACAGTGATATATTTACTATTATCCTGCTGGATTGTTTTCTTATAGCCATGCTTTCATTGTACACTTATATTACATGCCCAGCTACAACCAAGCCCTCTTTTTAGAGATTAAAGCATGAATGCAGGTGGCTTCTTAACGGAGTAGGTTTGTGATTACGCCATCTTTCCAGCAATGATGTTCAAAGGAATGAAATAACCTTTTAAAAACAAATTCAATTTGATGATTTGAAGATTAAAAAATAAAAAAAGTATGTAATGAGTATGTCTTAAACCAGAGTAATAATTTGCTGTGTCATGTGTTACGTGTCACCAGGTCTTCTGGACCTGGAGGGGCTCTTCCTTGTTAATGGCAACGCAGAGCGTGTGGATTGGCTGCGGCAGCGTTATGACAGTGGTGAGGAGGTGGAGCTAGAGAAGGAGGCGGACCTGGCGTCAGCAGTCAGCCTGCTCCGACTCTTCCTGCAGGAGCTTCCTGAGCCGGTCATCCCAACGGCGATACAGGGACACATTCTACAGCTTCACCAAGGTGTGTGACGAGGACTGCTCAGGCCATTTCTCCACCCACTCAGTCACCCCACCCTCTTTCTCTTTTTATCCACTTTGAACCCATCAACTGATCTTTTTTTGTGCTTTAGTTTTAGGTTGGTTCATGTTCATTTCGGTTATTTTTGCAAAAGTACCTAAATGGTGTTTTTTTGTCTATCATAAAACGGTACTAATGATGCCCATATTTACATTGAGAATAATGTAATGACCTATAATGCGTTTAATGTACATATATGGGCATGTGAGTATTGTATGAAGATAGAAAATGTGAACCTACCCTCTAATAGAAAAGGTTGTGTTGGTATTCCCTTCTTATATTATATTTCATATTATTTCTTATTTTTAAGAATAACTTTTAAGCTTCATGGCCTAATTGACATCCAGGTTTCCTCATTATCGTACATCTTTCATAATATTTACCAAAGTCAGACCATTCCAGGCACCAAATTAAGAGGTGGAGAAACACACGGTTAATGGACCATGTGTTACTCCACAAATCTCCCACTTCCACATTTGCTCTGTTTCTGTTTCTGTCCCTCCTCTCCTGCCCTGTCCTCTGTTTTTATCACAGATAATCTATTCCAATCCTCTTGTCATGATGATGGTAGTTCCTGTGGCTGTCATGCAGATTGCAGCAGTGGGGGAGTTTGCAGGGACTCTCCATGTCATGTCGTTTATTTATCATTCTCATCATTACTACAGCGCTACGTTTTCCTCCCTAATGCCGTCTCCTGTTTCACCTCATTTCACCTCCCGCAGAGGATTCTACGTTTATCTTATCTGTGTCTGCATGTTTTCTTTCGTGAAGAATTTTATTTTATTTTTTATGGTCAACGTGCAGGAACACATAACCCATAATTCATTCCACAATATCTAATAGAAAAGGAGCTTTGTAGCAACATTGAGAGCAGCATGTATCAAGCATATTATTATAATTGTGGTGATGATTATAAACAGCCTTTTCCAGCGTATACAAATCGTATTACTCACATGTAATCGTAGCGTTTGTTTTCTTCTCTTTGACAACCTTCAGATTACAGCAATGAAGAGGATCTGTGTAGAAACTTGAAGTACCTGCTGCAGCAGCTTCCCCAACTCAACTACGGCCTGCTGCGTTTCCTGTGCCGCTTCCTGGGCAGCGTGGCCTCACTTCAGCAGGAGAGCTGGAACATCGGGACGCTGGCCGCTGTCTTCGGACCTGACATCTTCCAGTAAGATGCCCGTTTAGGGCTTTTTAATAACTGCTTAAATAATCACAATCATTGTGAAAATAATTCGAGCTGTCAGATACTGTGAGCTAAGACCAAGTGCATGCTTTGCACATACAGATGAGCATACACACAGAGGCACTTACACATGCATTCAGTTATTGTAGTTATTTAACATCCCGTGGGAAGCAGTGTGCAACCAATACAACACACGCTTCTCTCGTCTTGTGTTTGCAGTCTGTCAACAGAAGGAGAGGACCTTCGAGACCAGGAGTCTGTCAGCAGAGTCCTGGCAGAGCTGCTGGACAACCAAGAGGGCCTGTTTGACTCCGAGGAAGATGACGTCTCCACCACCAACGACTACAGCTCCATCAATGAACAGGTACTGCCCATCGCCTTTGTGTCTGACTTCTTCATCTTCTCTAGCCATCACTCAGTTAATCTCTGAATGGAACATTTAACTCTGCCAGGGTCAGGGGTGAAATTCTTTCTGGGTTGAGAAACTTCTCTATGAAAAGTGAACAACTTAAAATGTTGGTATGCCATCAAACTCAACAGCAAACTCACGCTTGCTTTGAGGAGAAAGACTAGGATGTAATACAGATTTACCTCTGGAAGATTGTCCAATCCTTCATCATAGCATACACTGAATATTTGTGCCATTGCTTAATGTATGTATAGCCCACATTAAGTGGATGACTTATGATGGTGTATGACTCTGTAAGTATTTGTTAACATTGGAAAACATGGAGTAACGTGGAGGGATCAATATGTTTTTATATCGTTTTTTAGTTGGATGTAAATTCACGGAAAAATCAACATTGTTATGATTTGAAACATGTGAGTTTATACTGCTTGATTTCTGATAGAACTTCTGTAGAGATTTCAAGAATTGACTCCAGAGACACTAGTTTGTAAATCTTATGCGAGCAGGCCACATTAGGAATCACATTGAGGTTAAATGACTTCATCTTATCTAGAAACAAAACTCTCTTCCAGTGAAACAAACCACAGTGAGAAGTATTGGTTAGCTGCAGCAGTTCAGGAAGCACTTGTGTTGTTTAGGTATGCGAGTAATCACTTCCTCTAGCTGTTGTAGTACAGTGCATAGTATTACTGAACAGAAAGTTCTTCCGTCAGCAAAATACTTTTCAGAAGAATCTAGAAGAGACGCACCCAAACACACCCACACACACTATGCCGAGGTGTCTTAAGAGTTCAGAGTACAGATGTGGTTTAGTGAGTGAGCTGTTTGACTGAGCTGAACTATATATAGATATATATCTATATATCTATATCTATATATCTATATATATATCTATATCTATATATCTATATATATATCTATATATTTATATCTATATATATCTATATATCTATATATATATATATCTATATATCTATATATATCTATATCTATATCATTCTGTGTCTTAACGTCGGCGTTGAACACGGAGAACGTGACCGGCAGACTAAACTCAGAGGCATTTCCCCTGTTTCCCAGCAACACAGCGTGACTGCTGGGCCGGCATCTCAAAGAATAACATAGGTAACATTTAATTTTACAGTGCACTGATTACATTGTGTTAATGTATGATAACATGCACACAAAGACAATAATTACCCTTCAGCGTTATCTCATGTTGCCATTTAAGAGCACAATCTCAACACAGCAGGGGCTCTGTAAAGATCATATTTAAATGTTGAAGTTTAAGGCTACAAACAGTCACAGTATCTACAGTAAGTCACCTTTTCAGTTACACTCAACTGCCTGCTTTTTTTTGTTTCTTTCCATCTTCCTTCACTGATTACCTCTTTTTTTTGTTTCTTTGTAGCTGTTTATCTATTTTAACGACTCTGCACTGTCGCAGGAAACATATTTTCATTTTTGCTTCCCTTGTAATCTAGACTCCTTGGAGTCCTCATCTGTCACATCCTTCACTTATTCAAGAAAACGTACTGGCTTACGAGAGAAAGATAAATATATTGAGATTGTATCAACAGTAGAAAAAGAAGAAGAAATGTCTTTCATGCAGCTCTTTGAATTTTGTTTTTATTTTACGAATTCCGTTTCTTTGTTGTTGTTTTTATTGCATGGCGTGTCAGATGAATGAGAATATAGAGGACAACATTACCAATAGACAGAATAGTGAGAGAGAGCAGAAAAATGAGCAGCAGGGACAGTGAGAAAAAAATCTGTAAAGACAAATCATCTGTGCGCTGATCCCTGTGTCTTATGTAACACAGAGGGCAAAATAGTGGGTGGTTTAGAGAGGTAGAGGGAGAAAAAACGGCCAGAACGATGGGGGAGAAACGGCGAGAGTGCAGAGAGAGAAAAGGAAGAACGAAACGGAGGGGGGGAGAGAGATGGCGAGGGAGATAAGAAAAGAAGCTGGCGATGATGTAACCATGCAGCTCACACCTCCAGCCCCTGCACTACACTGGGGATGGATCGCTGTGAACAAACCCTCATGAAGGGGATTATATACACACACACACACACACACACACACCTGCTTTCACACAAGAGACACGCATGCTTCCAGACTAATCAGTAAGCTCCAAACACCTCACAGAGGATAGTTAGAACAATAAGAATAAACTACAGAAATAATGGACAATGCTACATTTAACATACTGAGAGACTTTGTAAAAGATGGAAGCACGTGAAACATGGAGGGAGAAAGACAAAGGCAGTTTGTCGTGTCATAGCATGTTTCGGCATAACTTTGAAGCTCAATGAGGCTGGCGTGGATCTAACAATGAGAAGTGCCAAACTGGATTTTGGCTTGTTTGTTGGCAAAAATGTAAGTCCTTTCAATTATTGTTTAGGATAGAGCGAGGCTGTGCCGAGGCTTGTTGCAAGGATGCTACCGGTGGGTGTGTTTGTTTTGATTCAGGGTTTAAAGAAGCTTTTTGTGTCCGAGTATCCGGACAAAGTAAGGGGAAAATAACTGTAATCACAACTCATTCACTTATTTTAAATAACAATATAAAATGTCATCATAGCTGTGCGTTCAGTACTGAGATAGCACGTGGCATTTTTATTTTTAGCTTGGCGCAATGGCTGTTTTGATTCCTCAGCCCACGAGGCAGAAAAGTAGTGATCATTGCATCCTCTCGCATTAGAAAGCAACATGCTCGGTTCTGACTCATACCTTTTGGAGATTGATCAACAAAGCAGAACCAGTGTGTAGTGAAATATGAGAAGTAAGCAAGGTATCTCATCTCAATAAGCTAGTGCTTCCAGGGCTACTGTTGCTGTAGAAAAAAATGATTTAATCATTTAATTTGGCCACTGAATCTCAATGTGATGGCAATTTGACATGTCGGTCTCCTGTCTGAATAAGACCCGAAGTCACAAAGGTAATCTTACTAGTTCTGATTTTAGAGAAACGCCCACACAAGTCTGAAAGCAGTTGTGTTAACATAGACGCCACATAAGCGCGAGGTGAAGAATGCTCAGAGAAAAAATTAAATGCACATTGATCTTTGGGATAAAAGATCAGCGCAGCACACATCCTTATATTTTCAATTCTCACTCATGCTGCATGAATGATCCTGTGAATATCCAGCAAAACACTTTAAATGCTGCATGTGTGCAATTTAAGAAGTAAAGTTACAACTTCTTGTGAGACATGTAGTATGAGCACACACACACCTACACACATTCACTGTTTTTTCCACATCAAGTGTTGCACAGCCGCATTATTGATTTATTTACTGTGAGTGGTTTTCAGAGAATATGAACGTCTGAAAATCACTTTCTAACACATTTGGATTTAAAGATGAGGAAAAGATCCCACAGCCCACTCACTGCGGGAACGGTAGGCCAGAGGGCTCCTCTCCAGTGGTACTGCTGGAAGGAAACGGTACAGTCACGCAAAAATGAGCACGAACACACTGTTTGATCTCCCCTCAGAATTGACTATTCAGGTGTTTATTTCAGCTTGACTAGTTGTTCACACCGGGCCATTTTTAGTGACATTCCTTCCTCACCCAGACACTCAAACCTGTTAGGCCAGAAGCTTGTGGAAAAATACGGTGACGAACATTGAGTGTACGGGCAGAATATACCCAGGCTGGCAGATTTCATTACATTCGGGCCGAAAGCAATGATTGGATAGGCTTATTACAGTCCTACAATGAGCCCCACATTCTTTTGTGTCAGAGCATTCGATTAATTGATTGCAGTGGAGATGTAATGACAACAAAAACTACAGTAGGTCAGCTTCTCTGCATCAGCCAGCACACGTCCCAGATCCAGATAAATAAACAGTATTCACAGTGACTACATTGTAAAACTGGTGGTGACTGCATTGCTTCTTCTGTATTCCCCTTGTGTACAGAACTTGGCTTTGTAACAGAAGTCAAGGCAGAGACCTTGTGTTTCTAATGTAAACAACAAAAGGAATAAAAAACCCAACCCTTCACGTACACAAACAAAACTCCTGAATATTACAGCAACACTCGGGTACTTCCCATGCAAAGTTTTCTTAAAAAAGGAAAATGAAACTAGCAGCTATTGCATTCAAAAGTGAAGGGAAACAAATCATAAATATTACATTTTCACATCAACGGTTGAAATTATGTGAAAACCTGTGAGATGCCAGTAACCTGGAAGTTTTTTTTATACAATGCATCGACTGAATTGGTGTTTACCAATCTAACATCAGAATGTAGGGTAGGTACAAAAGATCCTTTGAGACATTTTGAGACTTGAAATGTCAGCCCCAGTCAGTTGTCATTGTTCTGTGTTCTTGGCCCACTAATGATGTCAGTGGGGATTGTTGTTTTCTCCGTTTTCCATCCTGAAACTCTGGACCGGACCACTAAACCAGGGCCAAGGCCAGGACCTTTTGTTCCAGAGCACTTTCTGCCCCATCTTTATACCCACTCGGGCGCGCGCGCGCACACACACACACACACACACACACACACACACACACACACACACACAGATGTACTCTTGTATCAAAAAGCCAAATCAACGCAGCAACTTCTTTTTTTTTTTAAACTCAGATTTATGAGTTAGCATGATTTTCCACAGTCTTTAATAAGAGGATTATATCTGCAGCTCTCTGAATGATCATTCCAGGTCATCAACTCAGGATTCAACAACTCGTATCCTCTTAATATTATAGTCGCATCACCTCAAAGGCTCTCTGATAACTAACTGAGCAGAGCCTCAGTCGCATTCACACCATTTGAATGAACGCCTGTTATACATTCAAGTTCCATTGTTCATTATGTCAACTCCTGGTTTTTAATGATTGCACACAAAGGGACTTCTTTATTTATCCAGACTCATTTTTGAGTATCACAAATCAGCGGCCGTGATGGAATATGCTCTTGATGGCGTATAATCAAAGGTCATATTGGCTGCATCGTCCGTTCATATTACTGGTGAATAGCGTTGAATACATTTGACATGATATTGCAGATCAGACTTTCAATCAACATCCTTAGGTCTCACAATCTGGGACATTTTTATTCTGCCCATGAAATCAGGAACAATTTCTCTCAGAAAATCTTATCTGAATGATTGTTTGATTTTTAGTTTGATTTAATGGAGAGATGGTATCTCTAACTGCTTGTCATAATAATAGATATTATATTAATATTATTATTATCTGTCGTTCAGTTTAAATAATTGATTAAAATCATAACATTTTTTTTTTTGAATTATTATTATTATTTTTAAAGAATTGAACCGAGATTTTGCGGTTATATGATGCATTAGTGTATATATACATGAAAGATATCTTCATTTAAATTATAAGTTGAAACTCAACTTCAGAATGTAAAGTAGTTCTTTCTCATCATAATTTAAATTTTCATTAAATTAAGTAAAAATCTTTTATTCAACATATTTTAAATTATCTTAATTATATTTTGGGACATGTCAAAGTAAGATATTACCAGTCAGCATCAAATGATGTTAATATATGAAACTGAGGTTCTAATTGGTCAAAACTAAATGTTGAAGTTTAGTTCAAGTCTGGAGTTGGAGGGCGTGGTGGTTCATCATTATCTCTCAGCTTTTCACACGATTTAGTGAACATTTAACTGACGTCTACCTACAAAGATGCTCGTTTTCACTCACTAAGTTCAATTTGAGAAACTATTTAATGTTCTGACCGCGAGGAAAATACAAACAATGAGTGAAGCTGTTTCAGAGCAGGACTTCTTTATCTAATCACGCACACGCATACTTAGAGGAATTTCGTGTGTCATCCTCCATAATCTGCACAATGTGACGATAATTCCCCGACAGCCAATCAGAGCTCTTGGAAACAGGGGTGTTGCCGTAGCAACGACACAGTGACAGCGGCAGATGGGCGCTTGCTGTTGAGAGGAAGAGTGAAGGAGAGAAGGAAGAATGAGAGCAGAGACGAGGACAAACGGAGGAGAAGAAAGTCTCACGGTGACGAATCTTCATCAGGACCCTGAACCCATGTTTCCTCCAGTTCATTTTTAAAATACATACGTTTCCTCTTACATATACTGTTATTTATCAATCTAAATTGTTTTGGTGTGTGTTGGAGATATCGACCGTAGAGATGTCTGCCTTCTCTCAAATACAATGGGACTATGCGGCACTCGGCTTGTGGAGCTCAAAGAGCCAAAGAAATATAAAAAACAGCAACGTCTCGCTAAAGAAATCATGTGGATGAGTGGCTATAAACTATAAACAGAAAGAAAATAGTTCCAACAGCAAACTGCTCACAACAACGTCTGTGTATTATCTAGAGTAACCGGGTCATCATTTCTGGAAAGAGACATTAATGTTGAGTTTTTCAAATGTATTAGCACTACAGGCAAGATAAAAAAATATGTATGAAACAGCTGTTTTTATCATGGGTATAGCTCGAATCAGTAGTGTTTGTATCAGTTGACGATATTACAGAATAAATATGGAAAGGAACTATTTATCATCGGTGAAGTACTGCCCGAGGATCTCTGTTTGTGTCTTGTTCACATGCCATCAGCTGTCTGTATGTTATTTCTGTCTACATATTTACTACCCTCCCCTTCCCTCTCTCCATCATCCATCTCCCCTCTCTCCTGTCCTCCTCCCTCTGTCTACTGTCTGGTTCATTACCTTCTGCCCTCTATCACTCTTATTCTGCCTTTCTTCCTCCTTCTTCTCTCACTCACTCTATTGCATTGACCTAATATATATATTACAAAGTTTTCATTTCATATCGAGCGGTAAAATAGTTTTGATAGTGTGAGGACTACTTTGCCTAATTACATTATTTATAATTCGACTCGCATGCATGGGTACATGTAGTTGATTTTAGTCCTACTTTAATCCCTCCACCCCTCCCTCCCTTTCCTCTATCTTGCTTTTATTTCAATACATAAATATAAACATAGATGTGTAGATATGCAAAGGGCTAAATAAGAAAGTGCTGTATGTAATATTTTAATGTGCTATGTGATAAAGTGCTTTAGCGTTATTGGTGTCATAGACGTCATTATTAAATGTCATGGACATTTAACCATGGACATTTAACCACCATGTCGCAGTGTATCACCGTCTAATTTATCATCATGAGGCATCTGTATTTCCATTGATACAGATTATTAGTTGGTAGAGTCCTTAGGATTTAAGAGGCTTCTTCTCTTTCACATGTCCGTACATGACTTTGTTTTAACCCAGGTGGAACCAAGACCAAGACCTTGTAAAGTGGTCCAGAACTCTTCATCACAACTCCATGTTACTGTAGCTCTGACAGTTAGTGTGCAGAAATAAGCCTCCTGCAATCTGTAATGATGTCCTTCCAAGGAAAGATTTCCGTTTGTTTTTTATCTCTCTGCTTATCTGTATCTGTATCTGTGGTGTCAGTGTGTTACTCATTAGCTTCATGTATATTCAAATGTCGTACGGAACAAACTGTAATTTCAACACCTTTCCTTGAATCTATCCAACCATACATCTTTTCTGCTGATGTCTGTTCTGGACCGTTCCTCTCACCTCACCTAAATAAAATGATTTGTATTGGTGGATTGGTCGGAATCAATTTCCAATTTTTTTAATAAAAGTTCTTATACGTGAACACTGATGTTAGAAATCTGCTAGCCAAGACAACTTTAGTAATAATGTACAAATAAATATTTATTATCATAGACATATTAACATGATTTCAGTCTCTTTAATTCATAGAAGTCCTGGAACTGATGCTTTTTTTCTTCTTCACTGGTCTTCCTCATGAGGCCGTTAAAGTGTCAATGAAGGTGCAGACACACGTTTTATATTTGCTCCATCATTTTAGTTTAACATGTCTTTAGAAACCAAATCAACTCTCCAAAATAACAATTGCAGATTAGTAACTAGACCATAAACCTTTTTGTTCTATAAATAGCAGTGTCTTCACATGCTTTTTCCTAAAAAAAAATATATATATCTATAAAAAAAAAAATATATATATATATATATATTTTAGGTATAATAACCTTTTGTGTCCTCCATATTTCAGATCACAGAGCTGCTGGACGATGAGAAGTGCGAGGCCGAATGTGAAGAGCTGCCCCAGGACGGAGAGGAGGGTCCCGTCTCCTCTGACTCACCACAACACACACACACTGACGACAGCCCCTCAGCCAGGTGAGGCATCACAACTTACCTTATATTATTAGATAAGATGGGTTATTCTCTTTTATTCTCACCTTGTATTGAGGAGGACATATTGAGAGAGGACATGACATGTGACCCAGGTCCCAAAGTGGATTTTAAAAACCAACACAATAAAGTTACATAGTTAAATATCTGCTGCTTTTCTCTCTGATTGACACAGGTTTTGTTTGTTGTATCATGGATGAGTTATTAGAATACCTCATCATTGTCTAGAGGCATTCATATATTAAACATATACATATATGGTCTGTGATGCGGGGAAGTAGTCAGTAGTCAACTAGCTACATGTTTATTAGTTGGTGTATGTTAAGAATTAATCTAAGTGTTATAAGGAATGTAGTTTCTAAATTGTGTTCCAGATTCAAATTACGAACAATTGTTCCAGAATTTTGCTCCAGAAAGGAGTCCCCCACACTTGTTGATCTGCTCATTATTTAATGTCATAGTTGTTGGAACACTGTAATGAGTATACAAACATCCAACATGTGTTTTAGGTCGTTTTCACAGTCAGTAGTTTCCATGTGGTCACACTTAGAATGCAGCGCTTGAGTTCTGTAGTCGGTGACCAACCAGAAGACAAAGGGTCGGTCACTCACAGACACAGAAGTTCAATCCTCCTGCAGGAACATGAGGATCTTCTCAGGTTCTTCTGATTTGTTGATCTCCTTTTAAGTTGATTACTGAACACTAAACCCAGACTCCTGCGTATAGACACGTACACATTTCACCGCCTGTCTATCTAAAGAGGGCAGTGTATGGGCTATGTCAATTAAATATTCATTTTATTGTGAAAATAAATAATTTCAGTCAGGAATTAATGCAAGATGTTCCTTTTTATTATTTAAGTGATCATGGATATATGTGTCCAGATCCCATTACAACCATGCTGCTGTCCTAGTGACCTGCTATGCTTTGTGTTGTCACTGTCCTGATATGGAGACTTCGAATCATTTTGGATCCTGATTTATAGTTGTTTAAACCAGGAATTTGGTAGAAACCTGTGTTCGTTCAGCAGGGTGTGCACTGCAGTCACAGTGTCCTAGTTGCTCAGTGGCTGGCTACCAGTTAGATAAAGGCAACGTTGTAAAGCAATGTAGGGCAATAAATCAGTCCGCTGTGATGCTTTACAACAGTCACTGGGCTCTACCTCTGTCTTTGTGTGTGTGTGTGCGTGTGCGTGTGTGTGTGTGTGTTCGTGTTCGTGTCCGTGTCAGGGTCTTGCTGCTAGTCCCTCTGGCCTTTAAAATGATTACAGACAGTAATCCATAATCCACACTCACATGATTTAGACCATATAGCACATGCAATATCTCTCACTGTAACTCTGAGACAAAAGCATGAACAAAAGTTGCATAGTTGACGTTACTGAATCAAGACAACATTTACATTTTAAACGTGTTGCCAAGTTGCCCATTGTGCCAGAGTTCAGCACTCTGTGTGATGATATATCAGGTCTCGGAGAACGCGAGAGCTCAGGCTGCTGCAGTATGTGTGTCATCTGTGTGTGGGTGTCTGCATTGTTTGATATCTAAGTGGTTTAGTAGTTAATACATTGTTTGTGGGGCAACACAAAAGGACCCGTGTGTGTGTGTGTGTGTGTGTGTGTGTGTGTGTGTGTGTGTGTGTG